TACCCTTTAAAAAGGAGCCTCTTGCAGCTCACTGAACTGTCTGTGTAAATGCGAAGATAAAGGCATCAATATTGGAGAGACTAGGATATAACCATGCTTGGCACAAACTGCATCTTCTAGCCATTGGCCTGAAAGTACTAAACCCAGGACACTTGGATCACAATAAAAGCTGGGATTTCAGTGGCGAGATGTCATGGGAACTTTGAAATGGAAAGGTTAGCAGATTTCTAATCAGTGTGGCTTACATGTACTTGTTCATCTTTTAAGTGATATATTCAAGCACATATTTCGAAAATGAGAAAACTCTTACGACCAGAAATTGAAGTCCTTGGCAGTCACTGTAATTTTTCAAAATCTTATTTAATTCTAATTTTAAGGAGATCAATGTAGGAGGATTGCATCATCTCTATCAAACATTATTTTTTTATCTTAACTTGTTATCCTTAGCACTAATGTTAAACATGTTGATGTTAAAGAACTAGAGAGAAAACACCTAACCTAATCTTATGCTTTAGGTTTAATAGTATGAAGGCTTTCTATGTTGCTTTTTTAGTCTTGTAATATTTATAAAATCCTTTTTTAGGGATTTTCTGAAAATGAAACATTTGGAAGCAAGAAAATTAAAAGTCTGAGGGGGAAAATACAGACTAGTTTGCCTGAATATATTAAACCCAGTAATTCTGCCATTAACAGGTTTGTAAAACCAAGAAGTATAAGTCTTGTTAGAAAAGCAACACACTATGGGCTTTTTGTGATGCCCCAGACTAAAAAAAAATTAAAAACATAAAACAGTTAAAATGTATGGAGAAGTATACTGTCTTCTGCTTTTTTTTAATTTTTGGCTTTTGTCCAATCTAAGGGATAATCTCAAGAATCTTGGGGAATTAACACTGAGCTAAATCACAATATATTCCAAATTGTCAAAACATTAAAAGCATGTAGATACACAGGATTACATTTTTAGTATAAAAACAGGGTAAAGCTTAGTTTGTGGTTTTCAAGAAAAGCATTACCTGAATCTAAAAGTTACAAAGGTACTAATATATAAAAAATAGAGCCTACCTAGAATATTTTATAAACCATAGATCTATGTAGAAATCTATCAAGATAGTATTGTTAGCGAATTTTGCAACTTGACTTAGAAATTCTATGATGAGATTATTAAGGGTTTCTGTTCGAAATTTAAAACCACAATAAGTATTTCTCTTTGCTTCACAGGAATAGATTATTAGAAAAACAGCTGTAATCTCATAGTTCTATTTCCTCTACACAGATAGTATTTCCTCCATACAGAACAGCATTAGAGGATGCCTAGCATTTTCAATGTTTTACATCTCATAAATAGACATTCGATAGGGCCACTCAGTGTAGTCAAAGACGTGAACTTAAATCTGCACAGATGATAATTGGAGGACATGAAAGAAAGAGAATTAGCGTCTTCCATATATGTAGATAGGAATGTTTATGTAATATTTAATAAACCAACCTGATGAAAGACTTAACACTAAAAGAAAAAAGGTCTATTTTAGTAAGTCTAAATGTTTCTAAAATTTGATGCTGCAATTTACCTAATGAAAATGATATTAGAAACTTGAAAACACTCAAGTTCATCAATGCTCCATCCTAAGTGTGGAGAGAACACCGGACCTAAACAAAAGTTAGCTCAAATGGCATCCATTGTTTTACAAAGTTGTTCCAAATCTACCATCTGGAATGAGTACCAAGAATGCATTGTTACCATGTTTTCAAGAGAACCAATAAGCCATTGGCTAACAAAAGTACAATCCAGGTGATTTCCATGGGGACTGTACAATAGTATCAGGCAGTCTGATTTAGTTACAAAGAACGGAGCAACTGAGCCTACAGCTATTTTTCAACTAAAGATAAAAATGAAGAATATATTCTTGGTAGAGGAGGACCCACGATAATTCTGTGTTTGAAACCGGGAGTAGTCCGGACTTGGCTTCTAAAGCCTGTCATCTGGGATCCTGTTTTCAAGGAATTCAATCTGATGTTAAAAGACATGTCATAACTTGGATTTCAGACTTTACTGCTTCAGAAATATGTTTACATACTTCATAATGTAATTATGGCTACCTTAAGACAGATAAGGCAAATGGAAGCAATATATTGGAAACGTAATTGAAAATGCAGTTGTCCAGAAGCACTGGTGGGGATGAAGTCCCTGAAAAGCTGCTCAAAGCTCCAGAGTTTGAAGTTAAATTTTTGATGTTGTCACTCTCAATCTATTGAATGGCTGACAGACAATCAAACCCGTCTGGCTGGCTGGCAGCTCATTTTGCTGGCAGGTGGCAAACAATTAGACACACCAATTTGTGCCTCCTGATGACATTAAAGCATGAAACTAAGTTGTATGCAGGGCCTAGTGATTTGTGTGAAAGCATTTCAAAAATAATACTCTTTGCCGTGGCAACTCATTTCAGACTGCCACGTCCCATTATGGCTTTGAGTGGTGAAGACGACAGACTTGAGTCACGTGCAGTGCAAGGCCGCTTCTGTTCAATCCGTCATCAGCGCCCCCCGAGACCTCAATCCCCTCCTTTCATCAATATCACCTCATCATTTACACTGGCTGGTACTTCAGCTACTGCATATATTAACCACACTGGGGACCCTCTCCCGAAGAAGAACCGAAATACGCTTTGTGTGTCTCTATTTATTTCATTTCTACTTATTGCAATTTAGGATAATGTTTCCATTCTCATTGAATTTTGCATAAATGCTACCAGGAACAAACAGGAAGTTCTACTTTTTTTAAAGCAATTATTCTCAAAAGCGTAATAAATTTTGAGTAGCTAAGAACACTGGCATTCAGCGGGTAGCTTTGTTAAGTTTTAATGAAAAAAACTGTTCTAACGAATGATCTGAAGTAAAACAAAATCTTTTCTTTCATCTTTATTTCATTGACTTTCCTTGTGCAAACCACAATAATTCTCCGTATGTACTGTTCTATGTTTTAATAAAATTTAAACATATACTTTAAAATTAAATGGAACACACAAAACTTTTATGACCCTAAATGAAATTATTGTAACCTTTATTTATAAAAATGGATTTATAGATGATTACAGTACTTACATGCATATGTTTACATACACTTATAAATACACACACACATATTTTCTGGGAACATAAACCAAATGGGTGAAATAGAGAGAGAGAACATCAATATGAAATGATACAGGGAATGTCCAAGGAACTGTGTGAATAAACATCTGTAATATTAATACAAAGCATTAAAAAAGTATTTTCCTGTATTTTTATTCCTTTTTAAAAAAAAATTTGGACTCATTTCATCTTGAAAGGCAATTACTTGAATTTTTTATCTTTTAAAAATCTTTTTACTACTGTTTACTCCTACTGATTACTATTTTATAACCTTTTCCTACTCTGTAAGTTCACAGAAGACAAACTAGTTTTACTCACCTTTATATCTGACATGATGACTAATGTCATTTATGGTTTCACAACAGATTTTCAATAAATATCTGTGAGGCACTAGTTATATGTTTACAGGTAGTTTATATTTATATATGAAAAAGATAATTAATCCTAACTGACAATGGCTTTAATCTCACACCTCTACCCCTAAAAACTAACACATCACTGTCTAATTTGGAACAATTAGACTATTTTAGAAAAAGTTGGACTATTTTAGAAAAAACAATACAGAATACGTATTACATTTTGACTCCATACTTATTTTGCATTCTAGTTTAGTAAACATTTGATTTCTTAACTTGACCTTTTATCTCTAAAATAGAATTATTTGCCCATCACCTCATAACAAATATATATAAAATTTCTGTGTGGGGAAAAGTGTTTTAAATAGTAATAAAAATTTAATTCAGGTGGTAAAAAAGCACATTCTTTAGTTTATATTTTAATATATAAACGTGATTTGCATCAATCCCACTGTCAAAATCCAGTACAACCCTTAATGATTAATATCTACCCTAGGATACTTTTATAATGCTGCATGTTGTTAAATAATAGAATATACTATATGCACTACTTTTTGGGTCTAAATATTTTATTCTGCTTCTGTGAACTATCATTTTTATGGCATCTATATTGGAACAGAAAAAAATTCTTTCTCAGCTAAAAATTCCTTGTAAGATTTGACATTTGAATGTAGATATATGGGTCATGTTATAAATAGTCTAAAAAGCTAAAATGCCTTCAGCAATATTTAGTTTTAAATACATGTGTCAAATGTGGCTTTCACATCGATACTGGAAATTCTATAAGGAAGATGATCATGTATAAATTTGTATTTATTCCACATACTTGAATTTAAAACTCAAATTTGGATTTCATTACCTCTAGAAGCTATTTCATCTCCAACAATTATGATAGTATTCAAAAATATTAGAATGCAATTTCAGAGCCAAACGAGACCTTGGAGAGATCTGACCTATCTCCTTCCCTGTTTTATCCATGAAACAGGTTCGCTAAGCTAAAATGTCTTGCCCAAGGTACTTAATGACGGATCACCATCAGAGTCTGGGTTTTCTTGATTTCCAGTTTAATGTGCTAACCTCCGTATCATATGGAAACCCTTTTTTGAGAGGTATTATTAAAATGCCTACTATGAGGTCAGTCAGGTTGTTCTATCCCTTTGACATTTTGCGTAGTAAGAGCCTACATTGATAAATGTAAATTAGACACATTTATGTCTAATTTGATTAAATTAATTAGGGATGAAAGCACAGCATGGAGAATATAGTCAATAGTTCTGTAACATCTTTCCATGTTGGCAGGTAGTAACTATACTCGTTGGGGTGAGCATTTAATAATGGATATAACTGTCAAATTGCTATGTTGTCTACTTAAGCCAGTACTGTATATCAACTATACTTCAATGAAAAAAATCAATCCATCAATAAATGCAACATTTTTAAGATCCCTCTACTATTTTTATATTAACAGACCCCACCTGTCCTTCCACATATGTGAATAGCAAGGCCAGTACCCACCTGTCAAAGGAATGAAACTGCATAGGAAGAATAGCTTGCGCTTCTCTCTTCAGCGCTGGGTCCGGGTAGGGGATGGGCTCAGGGCCACAGTCGGCAATTTCCACCGGGGCGGCCACGAGGCTTTTCAGTATTTCCTTGACATTGATGCCTTTGGCTTGGCTAATGCTAGATATGGAAGGCGCCGGCTTCAACATTTCGCTCGGGTTCTCAGCTAAGCTTTCCTGTGACTTCTTCACTTCAGAAGACAAAGTGGACAACAGCTCGCTCATGGCATCAGGGCCCGTGCTGGCCTCTAATTCTGCCCCGTTTAGGATGTTGGCCACTTGCTCCTCTCCAATTCCTGAATCTGTATGAGGAATGGAACTTTCTAACTGAATCTCTTCACCAGGAGCTGGCGTTTCTTTTTCCTTTATAGTGTCTGGAAATGCAGCAGGGGTCTCTGTAATGAAAGAAACGGGTTTAAGCAAAACGCTTCACAAGTGAAGACCCAGGATTATTAATACCGCACATATCAGAATAAAGAATAATCCTGTAAGAAACAAAAAATGTGCTCCATGGATATGTCTAACAAAACAACTGGATTAACACTTATCATCCATCTATAGCTGTTGTTATGTTCAGTTCACATCAACAGAACCCTGTTCTTTTACAAGTCGTCTGGCATTTCGAAACTGAGGCATGGAGAAAGTGCTCCAGGAGTAGCTTCTTATAACAGCTTGTAAATAACTATTATATGAAGTTCCCTTGTAATCCTTTCATTGCTATCTACCAATCACACAGGAAAAATTCATACACTTCTCGAATATTATCCTTAAAAACATAAAGTCATCTTTATACCATTTTTGGTACATCAATAACCAATAATGAAATGTATAATTAAAACTTTAAATAAGGTGAATATATTGTTCTAAAATTATGCACATATAATATATAAAATTTTGAAGAATTCATCGTGAAAAGCATGTCATATGATTAGTTTAAAAGGATAAACTCTTTAATAAGAGAATAATGCCCCACAAGGATATAGCCTATATGTGCTGCTAAGAATAATTATTTTGGAATACTCACTCTTTATGAATATAAATTTTCAATTTGCGAAAACTGAATCACAAAAAGAGATATGAAATACACATACAATATTACCAATTAAAATAGATACAAAGAAAAACATCTTTAAGATATTTAAAACATAATCATAAATATCTTATTTATGTCAGCCATAGAACAAAAAGAAACCCTGCCATATGCAACCAGGTGGACAGGAAATCGGGAGACCCCCCGACAGAGGGACAACGATCCTGACGACAGCAAGATAACTCACAAAACCTTTGGTGAAGTCCCTAGTGAGTCTAGATGTCTCCAGTCCCTAGGAAACAGAAATGTTTTGATGACCCTTTTTTGGGACGGGGATCGTAATCTGTTCAAAACTTTATACACATGTGCTACAGTGAAGGGATTTCTCTGGTAACAGGACTCCATTCTAAGACTCTATTAGACAGTTTTGCTAATTTCTTGAATGTAGTTAACGTCATGACATCCAAATTTACTGCAGGTATGAATTTGTTTCTTTCCAGACTAATTTTGGAATCATTTTGTCCAGTTTGCAACACAAAGAAAAAAATACCTTTGTTTCTTTTGAGTGACCTTTTCTTTTGATTCAGATTATATTAAAACTATACATTAATTTAGAAATAGCATCTTCATGTTATTAATCTTTTTAGTATACAATATTCATTTATATTGACTAAAAATAGGCATTTTAAACAATTTAGTGTTACACTGTAGTTTCCCTCATATCCATTAAATAGGTTTTAGTATTGCTTACTTGTTTGGTCAAGGATGTTAGATTTGAAAGAGAAGATCAATTAGCAGAATGATAAATGATAATATCCAAACACTGGATGATCGACATGCAAAATATTATGGATCTGTTATTTCCAAGACTAAATATTAAAATAACTACATCAAAGTTTTGGGATGACAGAGAATTTCAATACTATTGGCAAAGCACCAGAGAAGGATAAAGTAAGAGGTAAAGATAGTATTTTGGCCTTCTTTATAGAACCTTGTGAGAGGGGATTAAGACTAAAATTAGAATAATAGTATCAGTCACAAGAAGGAAGGGAAAGAGCCAAGATATTTCTGGAACATCTAGCTTAAGAAAAAAAGAACAGTGATATGACATTAAATAAAGAAGAAAGCAAGGTTATTCAGGAATAATCGATTTTTCAGGAGTAAGTAATGAATTAAACTGTGAATCATTTGAGTCTGAAGAATCACTGGGATACTTGTATCCGTAGGTCAAGAGAAGCGCAGTCATATATTTGGGGAGAGTCAGAATTCTAGACGCTGCTGAAATAACCAAGGGCTATAGAATAAAAAGGTAAGATAGCTAAGGCAGTCATTTCCACTATTAGAAATACTACTGAATTTATATAATGCATTGCAGCTATAAATTGTATGTTTCTGGAGAGAAAACAAATGTGGTAGAAAAACGAGGAAAAAATTAAATAGGAGTAATGACATTTTCTCTTTGACAATAGGACAAAGAATGTAAATGTAGAAACAAAATAAAAACCCTAACATCAAAATATCACAGTGGCATATTTACAAGCATGCGCTACCTTTTCTTACAGAGTTTAATTATCAAAGTCCAGTACTTAGTCAAAATTTGGCTGACTTGTAGATTTGGCCTAGAGTTTTTGGCTTTCTCCTAAGATGATGCCTCGATACTTATGTCTGAATGTCGTTTACATTAGGAGCTACATGAAAAATGTGAACTTTCAAGTTATATTATTCTATAATATAAGCATTTTGCTAAAAAACGGAATACCTAAGAAAATAAAATATTTGATTTTAGTGTCTACAAAGTACCATATAAAAATATTTTTTTTACCAACTATATCATTTTTTTCTGTTCAATTGATTCTCAGTAGACAAAATCTCTAATTTACAAACTAGATACTTGAAACTCTAATAATAAATGTTAACCTCTCAATTATAAGACAATTAAGTCTATTGAAATTTAATATTAGAATATTTTCAAATGACTAATTAAAATATTGACACAATAATAAGAGTACGGTGGCTGATAAAAAGATAATTTAAAAAATGAGGCACTACTTCGATATATCAATAAGAATACTATTCAAATAAATGATTTTTGTAAAGACTAACTTTTGATGTTATATAGAAATAAAAATAAACACCAATGGGTATTTTTTTAAAAGTAATCGCAAATAAAGACCAGATCAGTGGTCAAAAAAACCTACTTTTTTTGCACTAAGGTCTTTTACAGACAGTTCTCGATTGATGGCATGACTTCAGCTCAGATGACTTGTATGTTCCTAGAATGCTCCTCTGTGACACTCACGTACTCTGAAGATTGAACTCAAGTGACTTCAACAGGAGGTCAAGCAAGAATAGCAGAGAAAGTGTGAATGCGAGCCTCTGGGGAGGTCATGCCCCTGACAGCACCCTGGTAACTGTTCAATAGTTTTCATCAGTATCTGTAGCAAGAGGTAACGTCAGTACACGAAGCACAAACATCGTCAGCTTGAGTTCTGATATTAGAACCTCATTAGAAACAAGGAGTGCATGTCACATGCCTCTTTTTCTCACTGGCTTTCACCGAGCCCGATGAGTTCATCTAATACATTCTGGGGAAAATTTGGGCATTAAGTTCAGCAAGTGACATGATTTCTAAATGGTGACCTAATTTATCACCGCCCGTCTTCCAAAAATCTTGTTTTACAGTATGAAGTGCTTCAATATCCTGATCTTTTACTCAAATGTTTGAATCTATTTTCCAATCTAAAAAAAAAAAATATCATAAATAATCATGAAAGGAACACACAGCTTCTTCCTTGTTAATATAGCACTAAAAATTATTTTGGTTTATTTGCTCTTCAAATAATAGTATTAAGCAAACCAGATCACATTTGGGTAATTTAAAATAAAACATACAAATCTGTATATACCTAACTTGTTTTCTTTGTTTAAATTAAATCTAAAAATGCTAAATTAAGTTACATAAAAAAGAACCTGAATTCCAAAGAGCAAAAAAGCCAGACATAAAAAGATTTAAAATCATTATTAAAGTTCATTTTACACAAGACAAGACTGCCATGCATTGGTTAATTATTTGCAATTATTTATCTATCATTGAGTTTTTTGTTTGCGATACTAAATGGATGAAAACTATGTAACTGGCTCACTTGTTGGGGTCTCCCAGGGCTCTGAGGCTCTCCCCACTTTTCCCGTTCTGTTCCCCAGAGCGGGATCATGGTCGCGGACCCCTCTTCAGGCCTGCTGGTTCTTCCGCTGAGCCCTTCTAGCTGCTTTTTAAGTTTTTAGTTTTTATAACTTTCAACTCCAGAACTGCTTTTTGGTTGTTTTCTGTATTACTTCTTTACCGATATTCTCTCTTTGGTGAAAAAACAACTTCACACTTTTAATTCTTTAGAGAAGGTTTCCTGTAATATTTCAGCACATATATAAAGCTGGTTCAACACATCTGTGTGGTAAGTACATCATCAGTGCTTCTGCAGAGACCGTTTCTGTGACTGCTTTATTTATCCCTATGTATTGGCTACACTTCTCTGTTTCTTTGCTTATTTCCTATTTTTGTTACTGAAAACTAGACATTTTAGATAATATGATGTGGCAATCTCTAGAATCAGACCACTCCCATGGGGTTCACCATTGCTCTTTTACTGACCTTCCTGAATTAATTCTGTAAAATCCATTTTTCCCTGTCACTTGCAGCCACCGAAGGCCCTGCTCAGCCTAGTGGTCACCTAATGACTGGACAGAGATTGCCTTAAATGTCTTGGACTGCAAGTCTTCCACTGTTTGCCAGAGGCTCTGTGTGTGTGTGTGTGTGTGTGTGTCTTCCACTCTTTGCCAGAGGCTGTGTGTGTGTGTGTGTGTGTGTGTGTGTGTGTGTGTGTGTGTGTGTGTGTGTCGGGACATGCTTCCAACACCTCTGCTCTCCACAACTCTCCCTTAGCTTTCGTTTTCTGTTTGCACAGGCCTAGGGTCAGCCAGAACTGAGTGAATAGCATCTTCTCAGGTCTTCCCTAGGGCTAAGTACAGCCCCAGGAATGCGGACATCTCATTCTCAGCTCTTCCTTTAAGCTTTTTGATAAGGCTCTTGCCTCAACTGGTACTGCCATTTCAAGCAGGTGCAACATCAGAAAAAAATCGGGCTGATCATTTTCACAAACACCTTGTAAACAGGGTTTTTCTCTCCATGCAAGCTCTGATGAGGTCAGATGACAAGCCCTCTAAATGGAGCTTGACCAGGGTGCTGCCAGGCAGGTCAAACAGTGACAATACTTTGCGACGAGACTGTCTAAACACTCCAAAGCCAGTCAGCCTCTCTCTAGGGGCTCCTAGGCTACTGCTTTTCGCAGTGACCGTCATTGCCTGGCTGCT